CCTTCAGACCGCAGCTCTTTCGCTGGCATTGACTCTTAATACCTCTCACACCACGGTTAATGGTATGGTTTACAACATGGAGTATAACAGCGCCTCGCAGCTGTCTCCGTTCCGACCATGGATGTACTCGTCCGTCTGAAAGGGGCCCGTAGCTATCCGTGGTGCTAAAGTTGAGGGTAAGAATCCACCCATTTTTTCGCCATATAGCATTGTGATATATAACAACTTATTGTTGGTAGCTTAGCTGATTGGAGAATATATAGAGTTTATTGATAACATTGAGGTAATTTATAATTTAGTTTTTTATTGGTTCACTATGTAGTATTCATTATATAGTGTAGTGTATACCCAGTTACTGTAAATAGCTCAGATGTGTAGGCTTTGACTTCAACATAGCCATTTCTGTGACCAGTCACAAGCTAATCACTCAGTTATTTCAATGCTAAATTCTCCTAGTTATTTCAATGCTAAATTATCCTGTTTGATTTGTACTAGGTGCCTCTGTGAATGTGTATGCTCTGACTTTAACATAGCTATTTCTGTGACCAGTCACAAGCTAATCACTCAGCTATTTCAATGCTAAATTCTATGCTAATTCCTTTGTCAAGGGGTGCCTCTGTGGATGTGTATGCTTTGAATTTAACATAGCCATTTCTGTGACCAGTCACAGGCTAATCACTCAGCTATTTCAATGCTAAATTCTATGCTAATTCCTTTGTCAAGGCGCTTTGTGTCTTCTCACACAGCTTAAAGGTCGCGATCTAAGCGTGGCTTTGTTCGCTCCAGCGCTGTCCTCCAGACAGTCTCGTCCCTTCACCTGATGAATGCCACTTGTGTTGTGGCCAAAACGTCGTGAGAATTTTATTGTGTTATTTTATTTTATCAATTTATTATTTTATTCTCATTCTACGTGACTTTACCGAAAGAACCAAAGAAGAAGGTTACGATCCTTCGGTGATGCTGGCACACGTGGCCTGCTCTGTCTCTCAATTAACATCACGGGGTCGTTAACGTCCACCGGTTAATACACCAGCAATGTTAATACACCCGCAGCGTGAATAAACCCGTAACGTTAACCAGGGTGGCCACGGGGCTTGAACCAGAAACTTCCGTAACAAGCGACAAAAGTGCCACCACCAGGCCCACGTCACCCACCTGTCATGCTGACGTTGAGGATGAAGATGTTATTGAAGCTTTTGGTGGAGTTTTTCAGTGCTTCGGTCACTATCGACCAGCTCATGACATTCCCAGGACTCAGAAGAATATTCAGGTCTGCATTAACGCTCCCGTTCCAGAACCTCTTCACGATGACGCCCACATAGGAGTCCAGCCTTTTAGACATCTCTCGGTCCAGCTGCAACGGCAATTGGAGAGGCAAAGCGTTGAGATGAGGCAAAGCGTTGAGATTAGGCGTGCAGACGGATTTCAAGGCAGAAGGGCAGACTGACAGGAGCCATTTATAATTATGAAAATAACAATCATCGTTTCGAGCCGTAAAGAGGCGCACAGTATTCGTTCAGTCTGCGAGAGAGAGAACAACTCGGAGGGGCGAGGAGGAACCGCAGATAAGCAGGACAGGTAGCAGCAGCAGCCAGGCGGTGAGCCGACGCAAAATCTCCCCCCACCCCCAAGTTCTACGGCCCTGTATATATCGAGGTGTTATCGGCCAATTTATGATAATTCACATGCAGGAGGAAACCGGATCACCCGGAGAAATTCCAGGAGCACGAGAGGGCAATTCTCTATGCCGTAGAGATGGAAACGAGTGGAGTTCACGTTTGCTTTACCGCCTTCTCGTGGCAAGCCAAGGTTACAGGCACCTCCTTGACGCCCGCCGGAAGGGAGTTTGACAACATCTGTGTGCGGTGATCCACCAACCCCTCGCTGCTGCTGCCTCTGCAGCGCTGGATTACAGGCAGCAGCCACGTGCAGCATGGCCACCACCGCTAAGATTTACAGATCTGATGGACAGATGGGGTTTCACAAGAAGCCCTTTGGGCTTAGCCCAAAGTGGTGGGCCTCGTGTGGCAGCGTGGGATGTGTCCGGCCCTCGGCCCGTAGGCTGCCCACGCCTGACGTAGGCCAAAGAAGTGCACGAATGTAGTGGTGGTGCTGGCCTCATCGGGGCGCCCTAAGAAGAAATTATTTTAAGCGCCCACCCCCAAACCCCTTTATAAACTCCAAGTGAGATTACAAAAGAGACAGAGAGAAAAGAGGCAGATGCAGCGAAACTGGAGAGCCGGTGAAAAAGATGGCATTAGGTGAGAGAGGAGAGATAGAGACGAGGCAAAGACAAGAGTGCTTCATTATCCATTAACAAGTGTTAAAGCCTACATGTTGAAATTATTCATTACCTTTCCATTGAGCTTTGTTTTTTTGGGACTAAAACCTGAGCTGACATTTAGTTCTGACCCCCACGTGCTGTACAAACCCAGGGCTCCCTCGGGCTGAGTTTGCTCACGGCCAGTGGAGGCGAGGGGGCATTACCTCGGTCTTCAGTTCTGTGGCGAGTGCCGTAAACTCTTCGGACTTCGGAGACTCGAGCTTCTTGTCGAACACGCGGTCGATCCGCAGCGTGGCTTCATACCGGTTGAAATCTGCGGGGAACCACGATCAATTTTACACGAGTGCGCATGTTACGTTTTTTTCACGTAATAATTCCGCCACCTGACCTTTCCATGAGAGAGGCTCAAGCGAGGCTTTCCCTGGGGAAAACATTTGAAGAAAGTAAAAAATTCAAACGTGTACAAAACTTCGGAACATGAAGCGTGCATAGTTGACTTTAGTAAGGCACGAGGTGTAATGGGGGTGATTAGCGGCGCACTGCGCTTGCGACCCAGAGGGTGCAAGTTCGATCTCCCGGCATGGCAGTCGAGTGCCTTCAATCCTCCCCACCTGTGTCCATCCAGCAGAATAAATGGGTGCACTGCAGACAGCCGATCGGCATGTCGCGTGTAGTGGGGTAAAGTGTGGGTATCGCGCATCTTCCAAGAAGTCTGGCATGCAGCTGCTTGCTCACGCTACAGCTGGCACAAGGGCTTTCACTAGCGATAGCCTCTCGGGCGTATTTGGCAAACTCTTCTACACCGGTCAGGTGTTTTGGAAGAGTTTGAGAGTGCCCACACTTTACCCCACCGAAGGCAACTTGTCGATCGACTGTGCTGTACCCATTCATTCCGCTACCCAAATCAGAGGCCACGCTATGCCCAAACAAATAACTACCCACACGTTAAAATGTACGCCTGAAACGGTGGAACTTTTCCCGTGGTAACGGTCTCCGTCGCGATTCTGCGCTATGGAAGGAAGTGGCGAGCCGCTTTGCTCTGTTGTTGCTCTGTGCGGAGTACGACACAGGCCCACGAGGACTCACCTCTGCAATCCACACCGGGGAACCCTCCAGACGGACAGCTCTCTGTTGAGAAAAGAGAAACGCGGAGCATGAATCGATGAAGCAGACGTCCGACAGCAACCCTCGCATCACCGGCAGGTCGATGAAACTCCCAAACACAGATAACCGGGCGGCTCAGAGCGCTGAGCCGGCGCCGTTGGGAGCCCGGGTACAAATCCAGGCAGCTGATATCAGCAAACTGAGTCGCAATGACCCACTTCGCATGCAACTAATGCATCGCGAGTACCGCCCATGGCCCTGCTTGGCTCCAAGCCAGATTCCGATGTCTTCTTGTGAGGCGAGCGCATCACGGAGTGGCCATGTCTCGGCTCGGCAAATAGACAATGGAGAACTATCCATACCGTGAGGGGCCTGTGCTGGCCTGGCTTGGATACGGCAGCGGAAAAAGCCCACCCTCCGCCCGCTCCCCTCCGCTCCCCCTCCCCCGTCCCCTCCCGCTCCCCTCCCCTCCCCTGCCACTCCCCTCACCCTCCCTCCCACTCCCCTCCCACTACACTCCCCTCTTGTCCACACTCCCCTCCCGCTCCCCTTCCCGTACCCGTCGAGAGAACTCCGTTGTCGGAGTTGGTGGGGAAAGCGGCGGAGCTCTTGACGCCGTTGCTCACGGTGAAGAGCGCCACGGTGTAGCTCCTGCCCCACACCAGCCCCAGCACCTGCTGCTTGAGCCCCGTGCCGTTGCTGATGTGAAAGACGCGCCCCTCCGCCGTGGAGGAGGTGTTCTCCGTGGGCGCCACGCTCAGGGTGAACGAGTCGAACTGGCCGCTCGGAGCGTCCCACGTGACGGTGATGGATGAGAACGTCTTGCTGGCGTGAACGTTCACCGCCGTCAGGGGCTCTGTTGCGGAGACGACGGAAATGCAGCGGGGTCATCGTTGTCGTCGTCATGATCGTTTTCATCATTGTAATCGTCGTCATCGTCATCAAGATCGTCGTCGTAATGATCATTGTAATCATCGTCATCATCATAAATGTCGTCATAATCGTTGTCATTGAATCAATCACCATCAGCATTAATCGATCATCATAATTTAATCAATCATCGTTTAATCAATCGTCATCATATAATCAAGCAACAGGCTGTCGTCATGACGAAAAAAACGTATTTACAAATTCACATGGGCCATCAATATCATCGCTCTTAAGCACTGGTTATCATCAACCACACTCCACCCATTGCTGGATGAAGGCCTCCTCAAGCCGCTGCTCATGACTGACCCCAACACACGCACGCGAGATTATTTTATCGCGGATCGCATCGCTCTATCTCCGCGGAGGAATGCGCTCTGGAGTAGCGGCGTCACCTCCTTCAGCTGCCACTCCGTCGTTAGTCTCGATCCCCGGGCGCCGTCCCGTCTGGCGACGCGTGCTCCCCAAAGCCCCTCGTTCGTCCCGTTCAATAGTGGGCACCACAGTGGCAAGATGTTTGCGTGTCTCTCTCTCTCACGCGTATTTGTCTGCTGCACATTTTAATTGGCTGCTGTACATTTCCACAAGATAAGCCACTTCGTTGAGCTTTCATTTGTGAGAAGCAGGTCGTTTCTGAAAAATAGCTACATAGCTCAGTGGGCCTTACAGCGGTACCAACGGGAATGGAGCCGCTGCCGTGTTTGTTGTTGCTGTCATTGTTGTTGTCATTGTTGTCGTCGTCGTTGTCGTCGTTGTCGTCGTCGTTGTCATCGTCGCAACAATGGGGCAGCGAGCGCCATATCACGCGCTCGTGATCAGCGGAGAGCGAGAGAGAGAGTCAGCACAGACAGAGAGAGAGAGAGTGCGGACAGAGAGAGAGCAGCTCCGCACTCTCCACGGACCCCCCCCCCCCCCCCCCCCCCCCGAGCGCCCTACTGGTCGTGGCGTTGAGCTGCACGGCATCGCCCGTCAAGTTGCCCCGGTAGCTGTGGACCGTGAAGCTGTACGTGACGCCGGGATCCAGCCCCAGGAACTTGACGCCCAGCTCGGAGGCGGGCAGCGACTTCCAGACAACCACCGTTTTGCCACTGTCTGTGTGTGTCCGCGTGCAGTTGAAGCCATCCACAGGGCTGCTGGGGTACAGCCAGCTCAGGTCAAGCTCCGTCGTCGTTTGCAACGACACGCTGACGTTCCGTGGGGGCGGAAGCGCTGCGGTGGGGTGGGAGGAAATGGGGGGGGGAGAAGACGACGGAAGAGAGAGTGGGGAGTCACGACAGAAGGAGTGCTGACCAGTGATCATTTCGTTTCGCATCATGCCGTGAATAGCAATATGACGGCAATCTGGGCGTGTGCGGTGGGGGTGCCACCCTCACCGCTGCACTGCCACCCCGGGGAGGTGGGCATCACGTCGATGAACGGAAAGGGGCAGGTGCAGGAGTAGGTGCCGTTCTTGTTAATGCAGTCGGCGTTGGCGTCGCAGTAGATGCTCTTGTCTGCGCACTCGTTCACGTCTGATCGTTTGGGGAGGTGGGGGGCGGGGGGGTGGTGAAGTCCGAGCAGCGTTGCCGTTATCACATTAAATTCAACAACATCGTCATCATCATCATCATCATCACCATCGTCATCCGTGGTCATCCACTGCTGGTTGAAAGCCTCGCTCTCCAAACCCTTTTGTCACCTCTCCTGACCCTGCGTCGTAACGATTCGCTCCAGCCAAAGCCCACCGACCGGTACGGTGAAGCATGGTAAAAACAACAGTGGATTGACAAAAGGGCCGCAGAGCTATTATTGTTACTGGAGCTACAATCTTCCCACGATGGTCAAGTGGTGAACTTAATAACTCACTTCATCCGCCGAATCCAAACCCTTACTTCTCAGGCCAGTGAGCTGTTGTGGGCTATCCAGTGTCTCGAGGACGCTAGTCACCCTTCCGTCGTCCATCGCGTCCAATTCGTCAGATATATGACGCTAAGCGGCAACGAGCCTCGTTCGTGCTTGGATGGAATAATGACTGGCTGGGAATACCAGCTGTCGTAGGCTTGGGCTTCAAATTGTGAAATATCAGAGATAGTAGTAGAGCAATGGATCCTTGAATCCATCTGTGCCACAGCTTTGACTGCAAGTCGAAGAGTCTCTACGTGAATTTAGGAAATGGCAAAGGAGAAGGATTTGTATATACAAAGGGGGGCTCCAACACTACAACAGGCCCAAGGCCCCATGAAACTTAATTCAGCACTCACTGAACCACAACTTCAGGATATGGATTTATATTAATAGGGCATTTAGATGCCCCCAGAACCTCAAAAGATTAACATCACATCTCACCTCAATCATTCCATTGCCCAGCTGTGGTTTAGCCTAGGGGACCCCCTGATAACAGCTGTGCCTGTGCGGGACGACGTGACGCAGCACCGGCCGGCAAATGCCCATTAGTCTGCCAATAGTGGGGGCGATGCTGCTGTCGGTCATTACAATTATTTTAATTTGGAGGAAATTTGGACCGTGACACCGACACACGTGACCTGCTCTGTCTCTCGAATAACATAACGGGCTGGTTCACGTTTCTTTCGTTTCTCAATCCGCTTGTCCTGGTGAGGGTCGCAGCGGCAGCGTGTTGAGTAGAGTGGTCCAGACCTCCCACTCCCTGGCGACAGACTCTAGCTCTGCCTGTGGAATTTCCAGGCGTTCCCAGGCCAGCCGAGCGACATAGCGTGTCCTAGGCCGGCCCCGGGGCCTTCGCCAAGTGGGATGTACCCGGTAGAGTTCCAGGGGGAGTCTATCGGGGGGCATCCTTACCGGGTAACCGAACCACCTCAACTGGCTCCTCTCGATCCAGAGGAGCAGCGGCTCGACTCCGAGGCTCTCCCGGATTACCGAGCTCCTCACCAATTATGGAGAGTGAGCCCATCAACCATGCGGAGAAACCTCAATTCGGCCCCTTGTACGCGTGATCTCATCATTTCGGTCATTACCCACAGCGCATGACCATAGGTGAGGGTGGGAATGTAGATCGACCTGTAAACCAAGAGCTTTGTTCGAGAACTCAGCTCCCGCTTCACGACCATGGAACAGCACAGCGCCTGCAACACTGTGGACGCCGCACCGATCCGCTGGCTGATCTTTCGCTCCAACTCCTCCACTTAGGGCAGCTGTTCCCCCCTCACCTGGAAAGAACAATCCACCGTCTCCCAGGGGTGAACCATGACCTCAGATTTGGAGGTGCTGATCCTCATCCCAGCCGCTTCACACTCGGAATCAAACCGTTCAAGTGCACGCTGGAGATCACAGACTGACGAGGCAAAGAGGACAACGTCATCTGCAAAAAGCAGCGACGCCACCTCTCCATACCTCGGCTGCACCTGTCCGTGAAAATCACAAACAGTAGTGGCTACAAGACGCACCCTTGGCGGAGTCCAACACCCACAGTGAACGACTTCGATTTAACACCAAAAATAGGGACACAGCTCTCACTCTGGGAATAGAGCGACCAGATAGCACACAAAAGGGGCACCAGTAGATCGTACTCCCGCAGCAACTCTCACAAGACATTGCAGGGAACACGGTCATATTCCTTCCCCAAGTCTACAAAGCAGAGGTCGACTGCAGAAGCATACTCTCATGACCCCTCAAACATCTGTGAAAGGGAAAAGAGCTGGTCCATTGTTCCACGACCATAACGGAATCCACATTGTTCCCCCTGAATCTGGGGCTCGAGCACCGGGAAGGGCCTCCTCTCCAGCACTCTGGCATAGGCTTTCCCTAGGACACTGAGGAGTGTGATTCCCCTGTAGTTGCAGCACACCCTCTGGTCCCCTTTTATGAAAATGGGAAGCAAAACCCCAGTTTGCCAATCCAGAGGGGATGTACCCGCCTTCCATGCAACATTGAGGAGGCACGTTAACTACGACACTCCTAACACTGTCCAGTACTTTCAACAACTCTGGGCGAATCTCGTCCACCCCGGCAGCTTCGAAGGCCCTCGACCGCCACAACAACTTCAGCAGCCGTGATGGATCCTACCCACCCCCCACCCCCCCCCCCCCCCCCCCCCAGCCGTTTCCAGCACTGCATCCTGAGAGGAGGGCATATCCACCGGGTTGAGGAGCTCCTCAGTGTTCCTTCCGCCTCTCGACTGTCTCCGAAGTTGAGGTCAATGTTACGCCGCCACCCTGACTGAAAACAGCCTGGGCCACGTCCCGGAGACCTCTCCCCTAAGACGTCCCTCTCCATGGCCTCTCCAAACTCCTCCCACCCCCCGGGGCTTTCGTTTAAGCGACTGCTGCAGCTGCCGCACTCTTGGCAAGCCGGTACCTCTCTATCGAGACAGGAGACCTTTTTACGAGCATGGCTCAGAAAGCCTCCTTCTTCAACTTGACAGTTTCCCTCACCACTGGTGTCCACCAGCGGATCCTAGGGTTGCCGCCATGACTGGCACCAACTGCCTTCAGGTCACAGCTTTTTGCAGCTGCATCCACAATCGAGGCCCTGAACACCGTCCACTCGGACTCAATGTCCATAACCTCCCCTGGAGCGCAGGATAAGTTTTATCGGAGATGGAAGTTTAAATCTTTCTGCGCTGGGTCTTCCGCCAGACGTTCCCAGAAAACCCGAACTATTCGATTGGGCCTTCCACGTCTATCTGGTCGGTGCCCCAAGCGTTGGGCCCAATTTACCATGAGGTTGTGATCAGTTGACAGCTCTGCCCCTCTCTTCACCTGAGTGTGCAGCACACACGGCCTTAGGTCCAATGATACAACTATAAAGTCAATCATTGACCTTCGGCCCAAAGTGCTCTATTACAAAGTACACTTATAAGCATCCTTGTGTTCGAACACGGTGTTTGTTATTGGCATTCCGTGACTAGCGCAGAATTCCAATAAGATATCACCGTTCGGGTTCAGATCAAAGGAGCCATTCCACCCAATCACGCCTCTCCAGGTATCTCCATCATTTCCCACGTGAACCCTGAAGTCGCCCAGTAAGACTGTGGAGTCAGTAGGTGGCACTCTGTCGAGTACTGCACCCACCGTCTCCAAGAAGGCCGAATACTCTGAACTGCTGTTTGGTGCATAAGCACAGACAACAGTCAGAGTTTTACTTTCTGACACCCATTGAGGCGACTCTCTCATCCACTGGGACAAACTCCAACTGAACAGCACCCAGCCAGGGGCTTGTGAGTATCCCCACACCCGCCCGGGGCCTCTCACCAGGGGCTACTCCGGAATAGGAGAGAGACCACCCCCGATAGAGAATTTTGGTTCCAGTACCAATGCTGTGTGTGGAGGTGAGACCGACTATATAAAGTCGGTACCTTTCCACCTCCTCCACCAGCTGGGCCTCCTTCCCCCCCCCCCCATTGACGTGGCATTCCACGTCAAAATAGCTCATTGTCCGTCGCCAAGGTCCACCCCGTCCTTGACAATTACTCTCGCCCCCATACTGGCATCGCACACCCGCCCCTCACCCTTCGTCCTGCGGATGGTGGACCCGCAAGATGGCACCACGTAGCCATTGCGGAATGGGCCCAACCGGGTAACGTGGGGGGTCACCCGGCCACCAGGTGCTTGCCGGCGAACTCCATCCCCAGGCGTGACTCCAGGGGGGTGTCCTGGTATACCTTGTCCGGGCAAAGTTCTCTGATTTTTGTATTTTTTTACCATTCATGAGGGGCTTTTTTACTGTTATTGTCTGGAACCTCCCCCCAGACCTGTTCGCCAGGAGAGACCCTACCAGGAGTACAAAACTCCAGGGGACGTAGCTCTGAGGGTCATTGAAATA